GTCTGAGCCGTCTGCCGTCAATGTCTGTGTTGTTTTCATTTAAAATGTCTCTTTTTAATTGGGCAAAAATTAACAGCTTATGTTTTTGATACTTTAATAATTTTCTCTAGTTGTAAAAAAAAAGGTTTTCATTGTGTTTTTTTAAAACTGAAAGGCAGAAAAAGTTTTCCAAATCCTCACTTCCCCTTAGAATCAGCTGAAGATTAAACCGCTCAGTGTTTTCATTTTATTTTTCATTTATTGTTTATTTGAAAGGGGACAGTGTACATTAATCAACATTAAAACAATGTAAATATACCCGAGTTAGCTAAGGAGTGCTAATTTTCATCGGTAGTTCCCCAGCCAGGTATAAAAAAGGCAACCTTAAAAATAAACACAAGTATAAAATCACAAGATAAAATTACAATATCAATTACATAAAAAAACATTATGGTTAAGAAATACAATTCATGTAAAATAATTAAAAATTAATTGTAAAATTATTTAAATACACACAGAAAACCTTAGTGCCCACAAATTTAGCTCTCTACAAGCCATTTTTTTTGCATTCTTTTTGAATGAAAAGAATGACAAAGAGTCCCTGATGGTTTCTGGCTCTGTGTTCCATAGCCGCCGTGCTTTAATTCATTCCACACTAAAGATTTCATCTTATCCAGAACCAGTCCGACCAATCGGGTCCATCTGCACTGCAAAAAATATAAATCTCAATAAGTTATTTTTTCTTATAATAAGTGTGTTTTTCCTTGATTTGAGGAGGTAAAACAGACACTTTGCCAATGGAACAAGACAATTTCCTTTTAAAATAAGAAAAAACTATTTTATCGTCTTATTTCAAGTAAATATTATCTAACTATCTTATTTTAAGAGTGAAAATACTCATTCCATTGGCAAATCATCTTATTTACCTGCTCAAATTAAGGCTAAATATACTTAATTTAAGCCATTTTTTACTTATTTCTGGATTGTTTTTGCAGTGTGGTATCAAACCGGGGATCTGTCTGTCTCCGTCTGCCTCTGTGATAGTGCTGCATTAGACGTTAGGCTGCTGCCATGTTTCCATCAGCTCCATGTGGAATTACAGTCATCTGGAAATTCAACCTGGCTGCCGTCTAACCCTGGGCCCCCTCGGAAAACTCTGGAAATCCTTTACCAGAAGGTCCCAGGCTCTGTCACTCAGTGGGCCTGACCAGAACATTTTTGCCTTGTCATTTACTGCAAGTTTCAGTGAAGAAAGGGCGTTTAGTTTTATTTAACTCTGGATGATCCAGAGGTTTATTAGTTTTATCTAAAAATGTTGAAGACTGGTGAAAACTGGTGAAGATTCTCAGTCATTCAGGTCACAGTCAATCCAAAAAAAGTTAAAAAACAATCCACTGGACTTTGTTTCCAAGTTTGAAGACGTTTTGCTTCCCATCCAGGAAGCTTTTTAATTTCAAAATGTCAGAAAAAGTGTTGGGTTTGAGGCTTTATAGAGTGGACCAGAAAAAAAAGCCTTGTTTTTGTTTTTGAAAACATGCAAATTAAAACGGACAAACGGGTCCACCCCTTTGGATTGGGGGTCGTTTGGCTTCTTTTGTTAGCCTGCAATGCCCCATACCTGTCTATGTCTCTGAAAGGGGGGTCATTAAAGGAAATTGTTAGCCTGGCTATGACTAGTCCCACTGGATTGGCCATAGAGGCCACCTGGGGTGTCAATGGTCATTAGGGGGTTCTGAAGGGTCCTTAACTTTGTCGTCGGATTGGTTTCGGTCACGTGCCTCTTCGAAGTGTGAGTCAGCTGACGGAGGGTGAGAGGTGAATCTCCTGGGTGTTGTTCCCAAAAGTGCGAGGGGAAAATTAGAGGGGAAAACGTCTAGAAAACATTACGTCCACTTTACTAAACTGAACTTTTCAACTATGTTAATGTGCAAAAAAAGGAATCTAATCTATTTTTCATCACTAATTTCTACAATTATTTTTATTTTGTCCTTTTAGATCCATAACATAGACTCACAGGGTTGCCAGATCAAAAACACAACAAAAAGTAGCATACATTGTGGCCAAAAAGTATTTAGTCAGCCACTGATTCCTACTTCTTGGAATAATGAGAGGTCTGTAATTTTCATCATAGATACACTTCGACTATGAAAGAGAAAATGAGAAAAAAAAAATCCAGGAAATCACATTGTAGGATTTTTAAATAATTTATTTGTAAATTATGGTGGAAAATAAGTATTTGATCACCCACAAACCAGCAAGATGTCTCCTTCTATAGCTCTTCTGTTCTCCACTCATTACCTGTATTATTGGTACCTGTTTGAACCCGTTATCTGTATAAAGACCACAGCGTGACCACAGTCACACTCCAAACTCAACCACCGCCAAGACCAAAGAGCTGTCGAAGGACACCAGGCTGGGTAGAGGGGATCTACAATAGACAAGCAGCTTGGTGTGAATTGTAATTGTACAATTGCAATTGGAAGAAAATCGACGAAATACAAGAAAAACTTAATCAGTGTTTCATTTGCTTAAATTTTGTTTTTTGTGTTGAACACAACAAAAACAGGACACGGATATGATCTGCTCTTCCTTTTTTAAGCCAAGTTTTATAACTTGGTGCCCCATCATCTCCTTTTCAGTGTAACTCACTGTATGGGTCTGATCCTTTTTTTATTAAGTTAAACTTTATGTTTAATGGCTAAATTTAGTTTTAATTAACCTATCTTTCAAACCATGTTTACACCATCGTTTAATTCATGTGAAGGGTCTCAGAATCATCATGATGGCTGCATTTAGAAGCTGGTGGCTTAAGGTGATAAAACCGCACTGTAAAAAAAAGAAAAACTAGAAATAAATATTTCTTAAATTAAGGGTATTTACCCATAATTAAAGTGGGTAATTGAGATAGTTTACCAATGTAATCTTAGAAGTATTAGTAGTATTTTTAATCTTAGAATAAGATAATTAGAAAAAATGCACTTGAAATAAGACAATGCAATTGTGTTATTTTAAGTGTAAATTGTCTTGTTCAGTTGGCAAAATGTTTCTTTTAGGGCTGCAACTAACGATTATTTTAAAAATCGATGAATCGGCCGATTATTTTCTCGATTAATCGATGAATCGGACAAAAATATTTTTTATATTAACCTCTTTATTCCAAAATAAACATTTTAGACAGAACAAACAAGCACACAAGTACAGGTTGCTCATTAACTGTACTGTTGCAATATGAAAAATAAATGTTTGTGTTAAAACTACGCAAACTTACATGAGAAATGTAGCTGTACATCCACTAAATATAAGGTACTTTGTTTCATAAAGCGCAAAAAAAGACATTTTTGTTTTTAAAAGCCCCTAAGGGGCTCAAACAATAGGTCCCCCCATTTCAACAAATGAGTTTTTTTAGACTAGAAGAGTTCTGCCTTTTAAGACAGGAAAGTATAGCAGTTAAAGTTGCTACTTGAGAAAATACTGAACCATAGAGATAAAAATAGCCCTGTGATTCAAATTATAAATTGTATTTGGAATAAAAATGAGAGAACTAGGGGTGGTAAAAAACACATCCTCCAAAGACAGATATTTACATGGGAATGTGGCATATAATTAATTGACATATTACTGATCTTGCTGGATTTTATTCTGCTTTACTTCCATAAATTGCAGGATCTGCTTTACTTTATCTTTGCCAGAAGATTTAAACTTTAAAAGCCTTGCCCTCATAATTTGCAAGTTAATTTCTTTATAAAGAAAATATAAACGCTGCTTAAGCTAATTCAAATGAAATTAAAAGTAAAATAAGTAGCCAACCTTATCACTGTCTGTAACCTACTAACACGGTAAGGAAAGCATCAGAGGAGCTACCTGAGAAACTAACGTTACGTTTCCCCACATTAAAACCAAACAAACATGTTCGCTCACCCTGCTGATCAGCTCTCTTCACTGCCATCGAAGGCTCCAACGTGTTTTCTTTTCAGGTGCTGCGTCATAACAGTGGTGCTTCCGTGCCATGTTCATTTGTTTTTACAAAAGTTGCCTGTTACGACTTTTTTCGCTTTACAAAGCGCAGGTTATTTTAATTATTGTGATCAATTTGCGCCGTCAATCCCGGCGCATGCGCGCTTCATTTGCTGTCTGGACGCTGAGGGTAAACATCCTCTGACTGCAGCGCTGAGAGGGAATCCTGCAGAGCGGGGTTGGGATGGGGGACGCGCCCCACGGCAATGACGACGGCGGCGGATGACGCATTAATCACGCGACACAACTAATCGATAATGAAATTCGTTGCCAACGCTTTTAAAAGTAGATTTTTATCGATTCTTTGTTGCAGCCCTAGTTTCTTTTACTTCCTCAATCCAAGAACAAAAGCATTTATTTTAAGAAAAAATAACTTATCTAGATTTCAATTTTTTCCAGTGCGGGACAGGATATAGTGAGGACTACAGCAGTGTGCGTCTGCAGCCCATCTTTATTTTAATAAAAGGGTGAATGCATGTTTTATTCAGGGAAAATACTTGTGTGTCTCCAGCAGATTGGCAGACCATCACAGCTGTCAGCTGCTAGTCTTATTAACATGTGGCGCTAACATTTACGCCATCTAGCGGCCGTTCAGGACATGTTCAGACTGGTTCATTACCCCTCCTTTACTAGTCTGCATAAGACCGAATTCTTTCTGTCAGCTGCTGATCGGGGGAACTGTCTGTTTCAGGCTCTCATCTATAACCGCCTAATATACTGAATCTAGTGTCTTTATTTAATTGGTTCTGATATTGCAGGGGTCAGAGGTAAACTTAGCAGTTAGATGAGTCATCAGTGGAGGACAGCTGTGACTCAGCAGTTCTGGAAAATAGGGACTAGTCATGATGAGCTCTATCATTCCAATATCCAGCCCCAGTGTTAAGATGCAATTACTTCCTGGTTTGGTTCAGCCCAGTTGATCGTCATTGTCACAAATGAGACACAATCAGCCTGTTTCTGGTTGCCATGGTGACATGATACTGACTTTGAGGATGATGTGATTTCAGGGTAGAGGGCACCCGGGATCTTCTGCTGCTCTTCAGGACCATGAGGACTTTCTTAGACAGAAGTGACGATCGGACCAGAACCTTTAAGCATTTTCAGGTTGGTGAAGACCCGGTCTGGGAGTTTACTCCTCCGTTATCTGTGATATAGACTTTGAAACAGCAAATATGTAAGGCTGGTAGAGGCGTCCTCCATCAGCTTAACAGTTGCTGATCTGTAGATGTAAAGTTTCCTTCTCTGGTTCTACAGAACAGTTTGGGCTGTTTTATTAGTGACACATCTCTATATGATTTTTGTGAGAGAAATCTTGGTCCCAGGAGAGAAATCAGATTTTCAATCAGCCAATTGATGCACATCTGCTCTGATTGTTTATGCTTAAGAGGGTTTTATAGTAGAAACCTGCTCCAGGGTTCTGGATGTCTAAGGATGGAGTGTTGTTCAAAATCTGCAGAAACAGCCCAAGCTGGGTTTCTTTCAGCCACTTTTTGCTCTTATCTAACTTACTATGAATCCTTCCTATTAAAGGAAAAGTCTGGTCAGCAAGAAATAATCAATGGATCCTTATTTATACCTAAAACTAATATGTTTGTGGTGATTTAATGAATTTAGCTTTATTCAGTAAAAAAATTTAAACAATAATTTTCGTTGCAATCACTGAGTCTGGGAGCGGCCATTTTTGCCCAACTATAGTAACCCCTCCCTCCTGCCATCTTCCAGCAGTGACGTCACGGTGCGGTAAGCCTAGCGCCATTCTCCCCGCTTTACAAGCTAAATCAATGGGAACTACTAGACACATCTGCAATCAACAACAATTATTGAAGATTTCCAGAGGACTTCACCATTGAAATTCACCAGAGCTATAGTGAAACTGACAATGCCCACGTGCATGGCAGCTGGATGTTGAAATACATCGGGTAAAAGTGAAAAAAAAAGAGTTATTCCACCTTTCTGATTCCTGATCCTCCACGGACGGGTTGGTCGTTGGATCGCCAACTTGAAGAGGGAGGATTTGCCATCGAACTTCTGGCCAGAGAAAAAACCCGTAATATGTAGCCAACATTTGGAAGAAGAATGTTTTCAAGATGACTTGGATAATAGCGCGTTGTGACAAACACCAGATACAGCACTGGGACTTGATCAACAGCCGATACCGCACCGTGACGTCACAAACCAGTAGGTGGCAGTAATGTTCTTTGACAAGCATGGATGCCTCCAGTAAAGCACATTCACATGAAAATTACTCTGAATTAAAAACACTGATCATTTATTGAACAGGATGAAATAATTTCATATTTAAAGTACTTTCAAAAGTTTGAATTCTGAATATGAGCGGACTTTTCCTTTAAAAGTTTTCTGTGAAGGTGGAGCAGTTTGTTTTTAATCCAGAGAGCTTCTGCAGAAGCTCATATCATCCGATTCCCCAAATGTTGAGAAGGTAGCAGCAGGAAAAGGCCTGTAGGTGTTATTTAGTGTGGGCGGACGAAATGTCAGGGTGGGACACTTCTGAACGGTTTGCAGTAAAATGTCAAATAATACATCAAGCTGCAGCGGCAGTATGGAACATATTGGCCTATTTGCTGGGAGAATGGTCCGTCAAGCCAAGTTGGCAGAACCGGAGGAGGATTGACACACATTTTCCATGCTGGTGTCTGTGCTGCAAACACTTTATTTTTGCTGCTTCTGCATCTTTTTCAATGTTCTTGTGGAAAATGTCATTCCTTATCGTTAATATCCAGCTGGGATTTACCCCATAGCGTTATGACACCCAGACAAAACAAAAGCTTAAAGCAAGTTAAATAAACAAACATAATAAGTGAATTATAATTAAAGTTGAATGTTTTTTCTTGCCTTCGAACCGCAGCGTTACACAAGCTGTCAGTGTTGGTTACATAGAAATTTAAGGCAAATACAATTTTAAAATATTTTATTAATCCCAAGGCAAGGCAAGGCAAATTTATTTGTATAGCACAATTCAGTACAAAGACAATGCAAATATTGTCAGAGCTTATAGGCTTTTTTTTTTTTGTTGTTACTTTTTACTGAATGAGTTTTTCTTGATGTTGATAGCTTTATGTAGGAAAGATCTTCTGTAGTGGTCAGTTTTGCACAGAATCTAGGGAAGTCTTTGACAAATGACACTCAGTTATGTAAAGATTTTTTGAAGAGGATCCTTACAGTTTTATGGAAGCCCATTTCCGCCACAAGAAAATAAAAAAATGGCAAGTAGAATGTCATAATTATGAGATTCAAATTCTTAATCTCGACTTTTAAGTCATAAATATTAGATTCAGTCATAATTTAGCCCTTGAAAGTCATAATTATGACTTACAAAGTCATAATTATGAGATGCAAAGTAAGGATGGAACTGTTTATGAAAACCGTCCGAACCGTTCGGTTCGACTGTCTCGGTTCGGTTCGCGTGTGTTGCGTTCGGTTCATGCGCTGCTCCTTTTTCTCATAGGCGAAGCGTTTACACTCCAGAGCAGAAGGTGGCGGTACTGCGACCAAAGCCAACCACCAGTAGTAAACAAGAAGAAGAAGGAGCGAAGCAGCGTAGCCGGGTGTAGCAGAAAAAAATAAGTTGTTGTGGAGAATTGTGTGGGTATGGCGAGTGGGAAAGAACAGGAGTTGGAAGACGCGCCAGCAGCACTTTATAGGTCTGCTGTATGGGACCACTTTGCATTTAGAGTGACCTACGATGACGGCGGAAAGAAAGTTGTGGATAAAAACAGTGTGCAGGCATTGTGCAACATGTGTTATATTATACAAGACATAATAGATTTTCCTAACAACCAACATATACCGAACCAAACTGAAAACCGTGACCACGAAACCATAAACCGAACCGAACCGTAGATTTTGTGAACCGTTCCACCCTTAATGCAAAGTCATAATTTCGACTTTTCAAAGTCATAATTATGAGATGAAAAGTCATAATTTTGACTTTTGAAAGTCATAATTATGAGATGAAAATCATAATTTCGACTTTTTAAAGTCATCATTATGAGATGAAAAGTCATAATTTCGACTTTTTAAAGTCATCATTATGAGATGAAAAGTCATAATTTAGACTTTTTAAAGTCATAAATGAAAATGTGTTTTCTTATTTTAAATGTTAATTAGGTTGTTACACTGGCAAAATGTCTCTTTTACCTCCTCAACCCAATAACAAATGCACTTATTTTAAGAAAGTAGATTTTTTCAATGCAGATCGAAGTTATGGACCTAACCTAAAACAGATTATATAAAGAAGGGATCCTGCTCCCACATTTTCAAATTTGAAATATCTCCATTGAGAACAAATTACAGATTAAGACAGATTTCTTGTTTGAGTTAACCAACCTGGTGAACAAAGCTGAATTGGATCATGTGATCGCTCTTTAAGCAAAACATTTTCAACAGCCATCAGTTTTATTTTAAACAATCAATGTTGTTCCTGCTGTCTTGCTGTCCTCATAGATCAAAATCCACCAATAAATTCAACACAGTATAAAAATAACAACTTGCTGGCTTCTCACCAGAATTTTTTTTAACAAGCACAACTGTAACTTTAAAAATGACAAAATATTCATGCATGAATTCAGGTCCTCTAACAGACAGGTTTCACATGTATATGTGTAATAAACAGGTAAAAGTGTTAAAAATCACTGTTTTCACTACAATTACGCTCATTAAAATGTATTTTAACGACCAGTTAGAAGAATACCGTGATGCAGGTGCTGCTATTTTTACTAAGTCAGCCCCAATGGAATCTAATAAAGTCAAATTAAATCCACACTCCTCAGGATTAGGTTTACCAACCACAAATGTCAGGTTTAGGGTATTATATTAGGCTTAAGCATCCATCCATCTCTCATCATATACATCTCTACTGACAGTAGGTTGGTGTCAAAAAGCTCGGAATTAGAGTATAAATTAAAAGTTTGAATTACCTAAAGTGAGTGAAAGAATTACACAATGAATATTTAAAAATTCTGCAGAATTAACCAAGTTCTAGTGTAAACTTCTGGTATGGATAGTAAAAATGACTCCTGTCATTAGAGGAAAGTACTGTGATGAATAATCCAAACATGTTGTAATTAAAAACAGTTTATTAACATATCAAATATTATACCTCCTTCTGTACACCTCCACTTATCTTATTCACATCAGTTATTATAAAACAGGTTAAATTAGCTGGAAAAGAAGAAACAAGAGAGTAACTTTCACATTCCTAAAGCTCATTGATACATGTTCTCCAGCTCACCTGGACTGGACTCTATAAATTAGAAACAAACTGAAGTTAAGTTAGAAAACACCACACAGCCATCATCATGATCATCACCATCATCTACAGGCCATGCAGTCGCGTCGGATGTTTGATCCATGCAGCTCATATATCAGGGGTTAAAACGGAGCAGATCTCTCTGGTAAGTAACAATAAAAATATAGATTTTACTTTAATTTGGAGGAGAAAACGCTTATGTTACCTGGACCTCTGGGTATATCTTAGAGGTAATAAAAGAGCCATGAATGGATGGAAGTGATCTTATGATTAGCAGGAAATGTTCATCATTTAAAGATTGGAACCATACAGAATAATTTTCCTTCTTGTAAAACAAACGTTTTTCTATTTGCCTAACGTCTCTATGTTAATAAGACTCAACCGTTTTGTTGGTCCGATATATTAGACAGAAAGTCCAGATGGAGACCGACCGGACCGCTGGGATGTGGGTAGACCCATTTCTCCGCGTTAAGAGTACCAGGTCTGGTTTGCTTGTGGAAAAGGTTCTGTTCTGCTGAAGAGGCTCTATAGTTAGTCTTTGTGGTGTTGCTCCTGTGTCTTCTTCAGCGGTACCGTCCCACAGGCAGTACGTTCATACAGGTGAAGCTGTCTGGGTACTTGGAGAGCACGACCGGGTTCCCGTCCATACGGACCTCGGAGAGGCTTGGGCGTAGATAGTAGGAGTTGTCGGACTTGCAGAAGGTGTCCGTGTTGACATCAGTGATGTTGTTTTCCTAAAACAAGATAAAGAAATCAAATCATCAGGAAGTTGTGACCTGTAGGAACTAGGGATGGAACGGTTTATGAAAACTGTCCGAACCGTTCGGTTCGACTGTCTCTGTTCGATTCGCGTGTGTTGCGTTCGGATTTTGTGAACCGTTCCATC